CCCCCCCCCCGAAACGCTGCATGTGGCACTGGGAACGTAGGCAGCCACTGTGTGTGGAATTATAGCAAATATTGCAGCATAACTAACAAAAGGGCCCCAACAGGCCTGGGGGGTCACAGTCTGACTCCTAGCAGGAGTCGCTAATGAGGTGATGGCATCATGTGGCTGCTAAAGCTAATTATTCAAACTGCTGAAAATCAGACTCCTGCGGAAAGTGATCTAGCTCATCCATCCATCCATCCATCCATCCATCCATCCATCCATCCATCCATCCATCTGATCATCCCCGTTATGGTTGCTGGGGGAGGCAGCACAGAACACCAGGCTGGGATACACCCTGAATGAGGTGTCTAGGTTTAAATGGAAAAACCGGCCCTATAGGATATTTATATGTAGGAAAATGTGGGTTCCCTTGATGGCAATACAATCTGGCCCGGGCATTCCAGGGTAGGGGTGGGGGGCAGGTCCAAGGTTGTGACGGATCCACTCACGTTTTCTCCAGCCACATCAGCAACCACGAACATTCCTGCTCAGCACCGAAGCTGAAGGTCTGATGCCTCCTTACGATTCAACAGGCATCGTTTTTTGCAGCGATGCCATTGGACAGTTAGGGCACTGCTGGTCTGTGCCCCAGCACAGGAGACATGAGAAAACGCATCCAGGGGGCAGAGTTTCTCCAGCTACCCCCCCCCCATCGCACCCCTGGCCTTACATCACCTCCATCCCTGGTTCTTGGCCTCTGTGGGACAGCATGACTCACTTGGACACAAAGAGAACAGTGAATGCTGTTCGTGGCGACGGTGGTTTAAATCAACCCCCCCTCATCCCGGTCGCCAACCACGCATCCCAAAAATCTTTCCCACCCCACTTTGACGGTGGTGGTGGGGGGCGGGGAGGGTGGTGGTGGTGGTACAACAAGACACAAAAAAAGTCTGGGGGCTTCGATGCAGAGACGAGGTAATGGGTTCAAAAAAATGCAAGCTGGGAAACGAGAGAGGGATGAAAAGGGAGGAACGGAGACGGAGGAGTGCCCTCACCAGGGCCGTGGTCGGAGCAACCTGGCCCATCACTGTGATGAACGGCCCCCAGTGGCAGCATGACAGGGCATAGGCCCCGAGCCCAGGCTGGGCTGGACGAAGCTCTTTGCTGCCAGAAGCGATAGATAGAACCGGCGCCACTGAACTCCTGTCATCTAAAAACCTCAGCCCAGTATCCTCTGCCACCGAACCAGCTAATGATGCTGCTTATTTATCCAGGAGTCACATGACGACTTTACTTACGTCCAAAAGGCCTGTCCTGCCTTGACGAGGGGCCTTTGCTATCAAAATAAATAATTCCTCAGCCTGTAAGGAGCCTTATACTGGGTAGCCATTCCCAAGATTTAAAACCATAAGTCTCCAGCGGAACCTTTTTGATAGAAGGAGAAGAGAGAAAGATTTAAGGAGCCGGAAAGAAATGCCATGGATTTTGCTGATGCTTCTGACGTTGGAGTTTTTCGAAAACACAATGAAGCATGTGTGGGGCAGGGGGGGGGGGGGGGGGGGGGGGGGGGGGGGGGTTGCCAAACAGAGACCTGCAAAGGTGAGCGAATTTCATGGCTATTTTGAGCCTCAGGTGCCTCTTACTTGGGCTAAGTTGGTCCNGGGGGGGGGGGGGCGGGGGGTGGAGTTCGGAGCTGTCCGAAGGGCATGTTTTTTTTCTCTGGAAAAGAGTGGAACATGATCCAAATCGCTGTCGGAATCCGATCTGGAAGAGCATGCCTTTCTTCTTGTGAAACATTTCTTTGTCTGCATCCTTCAGCGGCACGGCCTGGAAGGCGTCACGCCAAACGTGAGCCGGCAGCTTGGAAAGGGAGGAAGGAGGAAAGGAGGAGTGCACTCCCATCCAGAATCCCTGAAAGTCCAAATCTGCAAAGTTCAGGAGTCAGAGCTCTGGGTTGGGGGGTGGAGGACGGCGTGGGAGAGAGATATAAGGGCCATTTGATCCCAAGTTGTCACACAATAAGTCTTTACCAAGTGTGGAAAAAGTGAGCGCATCACATCCATCTGTGCTGAGGAGGGGGTTTCTTCACATAGTGACCCCCCCCAACCTCCTCCAAGATAAGGAGAGAAAACTGTACACCCCCTGTGTAGGGCATAGATAAACACTTCTACAGTAGTTGTCAGTGCAGATGTAAGATCTCCTCTTTCTGTTGTGTGTAGGAAAAATGGCAGAACTACAGTGCGCTGAGAGGGACAAGCTGTACAGGTCCTTCCCTGGGATGTTTCTCTGATCCACGTTGACGGTCGTTTTTTAGGCTAGTTGGAGACGCCAAGTGGGAGCATGTTACCGTTTGTTTTCTTATTCTGTTTTTTTTTTTTAAGAAGTAAGAAAAGCTTAAGAAATAAGCCAAGGACATAAACAGATACATATATAGACACAAATACACACATATATAGACACAAATGCACACATATATAGACACACACCCACACGTACAAACACATACAGACACAGATATACTGTATATAAACACAAACACTCACACATATAGACAAAACACACACACAGTATATAGACAAAACACACACACAGTATATAGACACAAATATACACACAGCACACAGACACAAACACATGCATCTATGCAGAAGCACACACATATAAATAGACTCATATAGACAGACAAATTGTATATAAACATGACAATACACACACTGAGACACACTGTATATAGACATCAACACGCACACACAAACACATAATCAAAAATACATACCCATATAGACAAAAACACACAGACATATAGCCACAGACATACATGTGTAGACAAACACACACATATATACAGACATTCACACATTCACACACACTCAAAGCACAGAAGATATACTTTCTGATGGAGAGAGAACCACCCAGCTACTTGCCCTTAACGGCCGGCTCTGCTGTAGGAGACCCAAATGCTTGGCTGGTCAGTTCAGAGGTGACTTTGAACTCCAGGTAGCTCTGAGAGCCTCAGAGGATGCCGCTGCTGGTGGCTCGATGACTCTGGAGGGGACACCTGTCAGACAGAAGGGACCGTCCCATGAAGATGGCACGGTCGAACAGAAAGATAGCAACAAAAAGGCCAGACCTCACCAATGTGTGCAAGAGAAACGTAGCGACTCAGTCAGGGAGTATAAAAGGGCGAATTATTCAAGAAACACTGCAAATCGTGCACCATGTGGGTCGAGACGTTTGCAATGCTTAAGATGCTTAAGATTTTCCGGTCAGTTCCTTCACTGTGCTGTGTGCATCAGAAATGCTCCCCCCTATTTGGGAGCCCATTCAGCTATTTTGTGTTTATTTAACATATTGTTTTGGAAGAGTTTGCAGGAGCAATTTTCAGGCTTTCTTATCAGTGGGGAGGATGTAGACAGATTAAGGGCTGGAAACACATTTTTAAAGGCAATAAATTCACTGTTAGAGTGGAATATTCCTAAGAACAGAAGAATGGAAGAAACTAACTTGACTGCGGGGTATGTTTACTAACGATATACTTACATGGTTGAGATCATAATTGAACCCACAATGCTGTCACTGACAAAAAACATTTCTCTCCCACCCATATTTACACAGAAGAAAAATTATTTGTTATATAAAACTGAAGAGCAAATTTCCAAAACTCACTCAGTCTACAGGATACATTCTCTGTGAACTTAGCGACTTATGCAAATATAATGAAAGTTCTTCGTTTGATTACATGGGGACTGTGTGTGTTTTGGTTCCCAGTACTGTAATGTGATGAAGAAGCCTGACTTTAGGTCATTGACGGTCTCGTCTGAAAGAGCAAAAAATGGGGAAAAAAAGGAGTTCTGGAAATTTGCCTTTCAATTAGCACCTAGCTATGTGTGTTTTCGCCCCCGTCGTCTGGGGGTGACTATATTGTACCGTCGGCTGAGTCAGTAACATCTCTGGGGACTTTTCGGACATTCCAGCCCGCTCGCTTCCAGACCTGGGCTGCATAGCCAGGTTTCCTGGTGCTTTCAGCTCTACGCCGATGACTGTTCGCATAAAAGAACACAAACCGTGACATCACCCATTGGCACTACGGGCAGGGGTCCTGATCCCAACCCAAATAAACAAGGGAGCCAGGTGTCTGTGCCGGAGGCCAATTGTAGCTTTTATTAGAAACTCTTCCGAGTGACTCCCAAATATCACAGTCACTTTAGGAAGGTCACGCTTATCTTATTATAGGGCTGAAGCTTTAACCAGCATACAATAGTCTAACGTGACAACAACATAACCCCGAGAATGACTAAATCACATCTAATTTTTAACCAGACAAGTGTTCCACCTACTATACTGACCGGAGCAGCGTTAGATAGTTCAGGACCAGACGGTAAAAAATATATATATCTGTATAAAAGGTCTTTTTCATTCCCATGATGTGGGACTTTGACGTTGGTGGCTATCAGCCTGAAAATGTGAACGTAAACAGCGCTTTATATCAGCGCTCACCCGGAGGGAAAGTCATTTCAGGCCTGATTTAAGGAGGGCTCCAGCAAAGGAGGGAGAGGATCGCTGTGGACCCCTGTTTACACACGGAGTCAAGTATCATGTCAGCATTTAAACAAGAGAGATATTCAGTAACTCATCGGGCAGCTTTTAAGTCCCACCGAGCTCCACACGGGTCTTTTGAAGACTCACAATGGGGCACGACGACATCATACATTTGACAAACACAATCATTCACCTCGCAACAGGGATAGGGGGGCTGGAGGGGCGGGGGATAAAGGCTCTCCTGTCGCTGCCACCTCCATCGTTTTTCAAATCCACGTGTCATTCATTTCTCCCTCCCCAGTGGTGACGGCAGAATCTGGGCTCCATGGAAACGAACTCTCTGGGATAGGAGTGGGCCCAAGGCCAGCCCGCTATCAGGACCCCAACTCAATTTAAACACACGGCTTGGAGATCTCTGCTCTGAAACCGTTGGGGCCATGCTACGGGGCTCACAGACGCACGACGTCCTATAGGAGTGTCAGCTTTTTTAACTAAGCTGATGTCGGCGTACGGTAATTACTGAAATCACTATTTCCGGAGTGGAGAGTGTGCGTGTGTGTGTGCGTGTGAGGGTGCCAGAATCAGCAGCAAGATCTCAGATGTCTTCATGACGAGCAGGTCCGGGAAGTATGGGGGTCAGGGGGCTTGCTGGGAATGAGGGGAGGGGGGCAGAGGAGGGATGTGGAGAGCGATGAGGTCATTACAGCGGCCTGGAATCGAGGCCAGCACCGTTTAAAAGTGGACCATATGGCACAGTCAGCCCTGGTTAGTTCACACCAGACACAGCTGTTCTCAGATGAAAGTAGCATCGAGAGACAAAAATCAATTTATCCCTGATCTCCCTCCCCCGTCTCCCCCCCCCTCATGGGTGTTGCCTCCCATTGGCTCAACGATTCTTTCCCAAACATCACAAGAGATTATGAAATTAAAAAGAGCTTTCCTCCAGTGATGTCTTCCATGTCCCTCTCTCGAACGCAGTTTCTGGACTTTTTACGAAAACAGCTTCAAAGGGGCTGACAAATGACAAATTAATAACGTACATATGAGAGGGATCGCGATTAAATTAGCCAGCACGCTAAGCTTATACAGCATGGGTGCTCCCGCCGCTTGAAAAGGTCAATTAATTGCGGGGAACGTGAAGTCGAAATCCTGACATGGCTTCCAAAAGACTGTCGGGACGTCAGGATTAATTTGAGTGGTGCCTTAACATCCATGAGCGTGTACAGAGCCCAACACGCATCACACATGTTCTCTCAAGGCGCGGGGCTCTAACACGGAACTGTGACCGCCAGGTGAATAAATACCACTGGCTGCCAAAAATGCTTGAATATTTTCTCTTTTTTCCCCACACCAGCTGCTCCTGTCAAGCCACATCTTGCCCTGCAGCTTAATTTTTCCCAGAACACTGAGGTCGCGAATTGGCCAACGCTGAGGGGACCCCCAGGAGGAGTACTTTCACTGGGAGATAGGGGGCGCTAGTGCACGACAGGCTTAGGCACCATCTTGCCCACTGCTTTGGCATGGCCCAGTCGGGGGTGCAGTAGGGGCACAGACACCCTGGCAGATTCAGGGGGCCCAACACTTCATAGGGCCCTTGAATATGTAAAACTATGAAGTTTATTGGGTGGGGGTGGGGGTGGGGTGCAAAATTTCGGGCTCCTCCTCTAGTTCCCAGTGCTCAGGCCCAAAAAATAAATGCCAACTATCCTAACCACTTCAGCGTTTTTTTGCCACGAAAAAAAACTTCTTTTTCAGTGACGGCTCCCCTACATATTCGGGGAGGTGAAACGCTGAAATTTGGGTCGGAAGCTGATTCTCACTGTCTCTAATTATACCTGAACAACGGAAAAAAATTGCAGAGTAATGGCTATCTGTAATGGTTCAGCTTAAGTTAAAAATATTTAACCGCTAGTTAAACTATATCCTCCCAGCTACCCCCCACCCCCGCCCCCCCCCCACTATGGGCTGTCTACACATCGCATTAAAACAATCTGCGTTATGGCAAGACAGGGAAAAGGGGGACACTCTCACCTGCCAGTCGCACCAAAACCCAGAAAACGCTGAGGTCAGTTGGGCTCTGCTGTTACGGTGCTCTCTGGATACACCGGCGGCACGTTCCATTTCTGTAACATGCAGGGGGGGGACGTCCTTGTTGTGTCTGCGGGGTTCTGTTCCGATGAGACGGCCCAGTCACACGTCCAGCAGGACTGTCTCTCACCATCCACTGCTCTCTCCACTAACTACGGCCTCCTGGGTAAAAGGGGCATTTGCAGGTCAGAGCAGGTCAGAGGTCAAAGGCCAAGGCAGGCAACAATCGATCAGTCTCACGCCGACACTGCGGAGAAGGCGGTCTGCAGTGGATCGATAAGGAAACATCACTCTTCAGAATAAGTCAGTCTGAATCTCCTGTGAGTAGTTGGACCCCAAACTAAAATACCAGAGTCTTAAATTCCATAACTAGACAAAGATGCTTGGTTGTCATCCTGGACTCTTTTGGCTGCATAACCAGAAAATCTCATGGGCAGATGTTCCACGGTGACATGAGAGGCTGCCCGAGTCACACGCTCCCGCCGTCTCGCTAATTACCAATATCGCCACCGTCAGGGAGTCCGGCAGGCCTCAGAAGCCGATGTCACATGGCAGACGGAGCCGTCTCGCAGATCTTACGGGCTGCCAGCCAGCAGGAATCCTTCACTGACACCACCGTCTGTAGACCCAGGGAATTTTTCCTCGCTGGATCTTATTCCACGGACGAGCTTTAGTCCAAAAGCCTCAGATCTCTTTTTGAATTCCAGGCGCTTCGCTCGGCCAAAAGCAGAGATATTGATCTTTGGTCAGGCCTGGTGTTTGTTTGAGACAAGGGCTGGGCCCTATGAGCCCTCCACTAGATGAAGAGGTGCGTGAGCAGCACAGCACAAGGCTAAGACTCAGCTGGTTACTTTCTTTGACGAGCTGAGCACGTTAACTTGCTGTATATCTGTAGACAGACCACTACAGAAAATGACCCGGGATGTGCCCGTGTCTGCGTGTGGGCATGTGCTGCAGGGCATGTATCTGTGCAGGTGGGCAATATCATTCCCTAAGGATATCAAAAAACAAGGAGACGTTTTGAATTCTTTCAAGGTTCTTTCAAGGCGTAATCTGTGCCTGAGCCTCTGTGGGCTTAGCCTGTCCTGGTTTCCCTTCCCGTGGTCATGAGGAGAATGTGGGTGAAAGGGGCGAAATCCAAGAGTGAAACCCTAAGGGCCCGGGGGGGGGGGGGGGGTTGGCACAGAAGCAAACTCCACCACAAAACACTTTTTCTGATGGAGAGCAACCCAAAGCATCATTACAGACCCTCCCTGAGAATATTTCACGTGCATTCTGCCCTGTTGCTTATATTTTTGTTTGTTTATATTATCAATCACCATGAATCACCATTAATCACCATGAATGAGGGGAATTATTGCTGATTTTTATTAGATTGCTCATCATAACAAAAGCAGGTCCAACAAACATTCAGATTCTCGGAAAGGAAGATTGAAAGGTCAAAGACAATTTCCAGTCTTTATTTCCCAGTTGGCTATTTCCATTCTTTATTTCCCAGTTCCTTACTTCCATTCTGTATTTCCCTAGTCCTCATTTCCGGTCATTATTTCCCAGTTCCTTTTACACTTCATTGCTCATGCACAATCTTCTCCTTTATCCCAATTTCCATTCATTATTTCTTTGCCTCTTATTTCCGTTCATTGTTCCTTCATAAGTAATTAGAAACGCTGTAACTGGTTTTAGGATCTGATTATCCTCCAGGGGCAGCCAGAGAGATGCTGGGGGTTAATGTCCCCCATACTTACCCAAATGGCCGTGCACAGGCTAAGCTCCTCTCTGAAATGCTGGGAGGTCCGGTGGGGGGAGGGTCACGGTTATTATTCCCCCCTCATAGCTCTAAACACCTGAGGAACGATGGGGGTCAAAGGTGCCAGCGGTTGGGGATCGGAACCTGAGTCTTCCTGTCCTGGCACGTGGAATGCTGTGTGACCACCAGCCAAGATGAAATGGATGGATGACCTGAGCCACAACTGTGGTCCCCGTGGGGGAGAACATCTACTGGCCATGGCCTGGATGATGTCATAAGTGCTTTGCTATTATTATCTATGTGGCACTGGTGACCTCGCTGGTGACCTCGCTGGTGACCTCACTGGTGACCTCACTGGTGACCTCACTGACTCTCTGTACGCTCAGGGCTCTGGTCTAAGACTAATGGGCCACTGAGTCACTGACAAACGCCGACTGATGCATTCCCAACATGCGCATGAAAACACCAGCACAGCTCAATGCAGATCTTAGATTAGAGATAGCACACATGCATGGGGAAAGTGTGGGAGGGGGGGGGGGTACATGGCTAAATTTAGAGAATCAGCCATGACCGCCATCTGGAAGCGAACACATACATCACAGGCGACACGGTCGCCATTAAGGAATGCGTCGGCAGGTCATTTTCTCAATCCCTGGGGTTCCACGTTTCAGGAAATGCCTGCTACTCAGAGGACACTCGGTGACCCTGATGTGACGTGAGCCAAACCTTCCACCTTCATAACGCGAGTGCTCACTCTCCAGCAGGGGGCATGGTGGCTAAGGGAGTCCAGGATGAGCTGCTGTCACCCCAGTGAAATATTCACTGATGTGATCCATAAAATTGTCATTAAATTAAAAAGTTATATATTAAAAAAAAAACAAAATCGATAATTTAAAACTATCAAATTCTAGAGTCAAAAAACCTGGATTGCCATGAAAAAGATTCCCTACACAATTAAATATCATGCAAATTACTTGGGCCCTTCAAAATGCATTGTGGTCTGTAATCTGTGCAGTGTGTATGCATGGAATTGTGAGCGTGTTATGTCAGTGTTTTCCAGGAGAAGATGGGAAAAGCGTTCATTGAATCACTCACACTGAGTTTATTTACAAACAGATGATAGCAGTTGGGAGGCTGGTTGTCTTAACCACACACCAAGGGTGTCAGAGGAAGACAAATATGCAAGCAAAACACAAACATACTGATTACGGAGTAGTGGGAGATTGTTGCGATTGCTCTCGTGTGAAGTCTGTCCCGCGGGTGGTTCAAAGAGACAAATTGAGTAAGACCTTTGGGAGGGAGGGGTCATTTTTCATAGCAAGGAAATGTGTGAGACCCCCACCATTGGAATTTAGGGTGTCGTGGTTGTTACCCCTTATTGTTAAACTAGCTTATCATTAGGTGCAAGACTGACGTCAATATTTTCCGTATCTTCTTGTCCTATTCAGGGTAGTGGGGGGGTGTCCCCACGATGACACAGGCATGGAACCCTGGTCTCAGAGGCGTAAGGCAACAGTGCTAACCACTGCACCACTGACCACTGCACCACTGACCACTGCACCACCCCATATTTAAACTAATCGGATCTTAATTCCAACCCAATTATCCAGTGTCAAGATCAACAGGAGATAGTTACCAAGTTAGTTAATTACTGAATCAGGGTTAGTAATGCTGTCATTTCCAGCTTCTGGGGAGAGCAGCCAATATATAATAAAACAAATACATTTCTACCCAAAAAAACAGGATAGCAAAGAGCACTGCATTGGCTGATGACTTGTGATCCAGACTTTTCATCTGGATTTGATGCCATAGTTAAGCACTCTGTTTCTGCTTGGGAGAAATTCTCCAACGACCATAACAGATGAGAACTGACTATTGTATTTTCTTGGCATTGAAATGGTGGAAATGCCCATTTAACCCATGGAGTGGCGTACCAAGCCGGAAAAGGCGCACAGTAAGGTTCTGTTCAACGCGCGCCATGGTCAAAATCTGTGTCTTATAACACCGATTGCATTAAAAGGGTAAAACAGTTCAGGAACAATAGGAACTTACAACTGAAGTGTTGGTTTAAGTTAGAGTCTATTGTGTATAATGGAATCACTGGAAAAGGAAGAATAATTGGTGTATTGTTCTAAATAAATCACTGACAAACAGGGCTACTAAGAGAGGACATGTGCCTCACTACAGATACCCAAAAGCTGATTGGAAGGCTTTGTTTGGGATTATATAAGCTAGGATTTCTGGAAAGGGGATATATTGTCAGAATCAACATGAACATACTGAAATTCCCCAGTTCTCTGCTACAGCACGTAAACACACTGTGCTGAAAAATAAAACAGGAGAAAAAAGTGTGGCTACACTAAAGTCCCAAATTTACTTCATGAAAACCACAGGAAGTCTAATCGGTCTTATGGTTCACTTAATAAAATCATCATCATTTTGTCCAGATAAATTATATTCCATTATGATTTTTTAAAGTGTTTTTATAAACTTAACTGACTTCATTAATTAACAATACTGATGAATTTTATAAGTGTATCTTAGCTGTGTAAAGGTACCACGATCTCGAAAATGCTATTGCAAAGTTACCCAATTCCAGTGCTGGAGGGCCAGAACCCAACACGGTTTGCAGATTTCCCCATTCAAAGCCCAGGCCCTCCAGCAGCAGAAATGGGGAACTCTGCCTTGTTCCATTAACCTTTAATTAGAATTGCATTAGACCGCTGTAGAATTGCAATTCTAGCACAATAGCACCCCCTTGTGGAAAATTAATCAACTAATCGTGACATCAGTCCATCGCAGGGCGCATACGTGCATGCAAATGATATGGAGAGTTTAAAGGAGCAAGTCTGCAGAACTACATGTCTCTGGGGTCTGAAAGGAAACCAAAGTAGGAGGAAAACCCTGCGAAACTGCACACACAAATCAGAGGTGTGATTCAAAGCCTCAGTGCTGCATATAAGAGGTAATTTGTAAATCAGGCCTCATGAAGCCATATAAGAGGTAATTTGTAAATCAGGCCTCATGAAGCCATATAAGAGGTAATTTGTAAATCAGGCCTCATGAAGCCATATCTGACATTGTGCACATCTAACTCCAACCACAAGAAGTCCCCACAATGTGGCAAATACATGCCTCCACCCCCCCATCCCACAAACACACACATGCAAATCATTGCAAATGGTACAACTATGCAAAAACTATACATATAAATCTATTAAATATATTGGCCCTTAATTTTAATTGTACTGTTTTTCAAATAAAGGTATTAAGTTTTTCTTGGGCATGTATCAGATACTGTTAGACCGCTGCTGTCTGTCTGCAGAAGCAGGTTTATCTACGTTTCTGGCCCCCGAAAGCAGCAAAGTCAGCCTGGGATTACCCGACACGGCTTCACCCTTCTGAGCAGAGTTGCCATGTGTTTCGAATCAATGTTGCGTTTAGCACCAGAGTTGCTGTCAGAGTGCATAAACACTGTGGCTCGATTCAGCCATCAGTAGGACGCATGTACACTATCAGCGACAATCAGTAGCATTTTAAAGCAGATATAGTGATAACCACCATATTTTCCCACCTCATCGTCACGGATTAGAATATCTTTTTGATGCAGAATACTGGCTATTCAGCAGCGAGAAGCCGACCCGAGCTTGAGTTTATGTTTGCCAGAAACCACAGACAGCTGGGTTCGGAGGAAACCAAGGTCAATTACCCTACTGCAAATAATCACACAGCTCTGGAAATGTAGGATCATTTGGTAACACTTTACTTGAGGTGTAATAGTACACTCATACTTTATTAATTAACCAGAAACTAAGCGCTAATCACGTACTAATCAAATGCTTGTTCATCATTAATTAGTCATAAAGGTTCACATATTTCAGGAAGTTACTATATTTGTTCATATGAAGGTGTAACTTCGATTGAGGAAAGGGGTGGTGGGGTGGGGTGGGTACAGGTCCCCACCCATTCATCATGACAATATGATTATTTGGGTGGGGGGGGTCGGCTGATTACAATCCCCAACCCCCCATTCGCCAATAATTTACACCCATGGGTTCATGGCTTGTACTTCCGTAGTAACTGAGTTACTAACTTACTTGTGCCCCCTCAAGTGAAATGTTACCGGTATTCTTAAAGGCACGGTACATGTTAAGTAAACAAGGTCTAGCTAGTGTGACCTGATTTTATATGATGCCCTGACATATTGGCATACATGCAAACTGCTACGCTCTTTATTCATATTCATTTATTGTTGAAGGTGAAACTTCACAACTGCAGGACTGGGAGTTAAAATTCTCTGCTCTGTGCGTATGGTGTTTGCATGTTCTAAGCATTTGAAGGAAAATGACTACACAGCAGAATTCACAGCAGGTAATTTAATTTAAAACAATAAATTAATATTTTTAAAATGTGATTACCGAAGGAGTACAATTACATAATAATTCTATTATTGACAATTACACAATTAATATTTGAGTAGGCCTAATATTTTCTTTCGATGGTCAACAGTGACATCTAGTGGCAAATGAGTAAAATGTAAAACCGACATTTTAAGTAACGCCATCATGCAAGTCATAAAGGTCAAAGATAGTTTGGAGAAGGATTCTTTTAAAGTTTCCGTCACATAACTGTGACAAGGGTGGTTTCGTTACAAATGTTGTGCACAAAAGCGCCAAATGTTCAGTCAAAAAGATATCCGATTTGACAATTCGACTATGACTAAATACGGTTGATCAATTTCATCAGTTTCAATGTGGGCCTGTATAAATATTTTGCTTTAAAAAAAATTATAAATAAAAAAAATTATATATGAGGCATAATAAAGCTGATGTTTCACTCACCCACATCACTAGAGCAACTGCATGGTGTCTTAATTCAGAGACCTAGAGAGAAAACTAACTATCAAAAAAGGCGTGACTAACGCTGCAAAGGAAAACTCCATCTCCCATATGTCCGCGTGTCAAAGACCTAGAAATACCTTTCGGGGGGTATGATTCAAAGTCCATCAGAAGTGTTTGGCGGTCCTGTGCAGAAGACAATGAAGCGGCTTTTCGCTGTCACGCTTATACTGACGATTGCCTTCGCTTATTTCATTTACATACCGCTTCCCAGTACAGTCTCAGAACCGTGGAAACTCATGATTCTTGCTGGGACATTTCGAGGTTTCATGCAAATGGTAAATATATGCATCTATACATGCAGTAGATATACTGTATGATATTATGTACCTTTCATATTTTTGTGATTCTTAACTAGATTGTATAGTGTATACACTATAAATGTCTAGTTGATGTGTACTTTTACAGTAAAACAACTGAAATCATTATTTGCTCTCGGCGGACTCTGACAAGAGCGTATCTGATTACCCAGATAGCACCATGTCATTGTTTCAACGTTGAATTCTAGTTAAATGGTCAATGTTCAATTATCACTGTTGAAACTGAATTGATTTTTGGTCAGATTTTCAATATTGAAAAACTGATGATGGCAAAACCGTGATTCAATGTTGATATGAAGTGAAAGATTGAAGATCAACGTTGCTTCAACCTTTTTGTCTGATATGGAATCAATGGCATTTTAATATATGTGTGCTATACTCTATACTATATACTCTATACTCTATACTGTATACTCTACCAAGTGCTTTTCATCGGTAACAGCTAGAATGCACTGCTGGCAGTTTAAGAAGTTCAGTAACAGAGAGCGTCACTGAGGAATAATTTGTGATTAAATATATTACGTGCCGAGATAAAGAAAAGACTATTCAGTTCACTGTCAGTCCTCTGTTCAATTGGCATAAATTGCAATCCTCTTTTCTGATGTAGCACTACAGATTAGGACTGGAAGTCAATATATTAGCACAGGCATGGTCCTCCGGAGTGGTAAAGTTTCTTATCTTATACCTTTCTGATGTAATCCAGGTCAGTTTTCTTTGAACTTTGTCTGGTTGTTTCAATTCCCTTCTCACATACCCATGCCGCTTCCCTGGGCCGTTCCTTGTTTTATTCTAACACCGGGGAATTGTCTTTGCTTTTACTGTGCATAGGAAGGTATATTTAGTTAAAAAACACATTTCATATTCGCTCTCTTGCTCGTGATTAGAGGTGTAGAAAGTCCACAACTCCATTGTTTGAGTATAACTACTGATAAGTATAAATACTCCTGGTCAAATATTCCACCAGTACAAGTGGAAAGTTGTTCAGTCAAATTTTTACTTCAGCTTTACTACTGGAGTACTAGATTTTTTAAATACTTAAGTATTCAAAAGAACATGTTCTTTTTAAAGTCAACGTATTATTGCCACAATGCATTTACAGCGCCTAATGACTTTTGCTTGTAGAACCTGTAGAATAAAAAACTATGGAGTATGGTACAATGACTGCAGAAACACAACTGAACCAGCAAAAGGACAAGCCATTGTCGTTTTCGTTTTTTTTTAACACCTTCTGTACCCAATCCCCACAAAACTCCGTGGTAGTGTTCTGAGCTGTAGTTGTGTGTGTGTGTGAGTGTGTGTCTGTGTGCATTTCATGTACATATGTGCATTTGGCATACAGTGAAATTGCTGCAGATGCAACTTCATCATGAAATAAAACATAAATGAAATAACCAACCCAGACACATGGCTGTAGCTTCATAACTTCCCAACAGTAACTCGACTGGCAGCGTTGGAGTACTCTACTGCGATTGGTTTTTCTCCAGTGACCAACGCAATATGGCCTGTCGCATTTTAGAAAAGTTGCCTGCCAACTTCAAAGCTATGCTTCAAAGTAATGAGTAACAAGATTTTTTTATAGAAATGTAGTGGAGTCAAAAGCACAATATTTGTCTTTCAAATGTAATGGAGTAAAAATCACGTTTCCAAAATAAATATTCTCAAGAAAAGGTCAGACACTCAACAAACAACAAATGTACTTCGTTACTGTCCACCTCTACTCAGGACATAGTATTGGTAGTGGTGTAAAGCAGTGACAATTTGTAAATGCGAACCTGAAAGTATTTCCATAGACCCTGTGGGGCTGTAAGTGACCATGGAGTAGGGCTGTAGTCAAGACCACCTTTGTCGAGTCCAAGACAAGTCCAAGACCAGGACTAGTCGAGTCCAAGTCAAGACCGAGTCCAAAGAGGTTCGAGTCCAAGACAAGACCGAGTCCAAAAAAGTTTGAGTCCGAGTCAAGACCGAGTCCAGGACAGGAAAAAAAAGTCTTATGCATGATATCATCAAAACAATCATTTTGGGTTATTATTTGTTGATCTAAAAGCAAAAACAGTGTCACAACACCCATGATTTTTAAGTATAGACATTCCCCTTTATATCATATAATCTATTAATCTAAAGAAAACAGAATGATGACATATGGTGATACCTCATAATAGCAGTGTTAGAACTGATATACAAACACCAACCCACTACTATTACCAATGCTAGGTACTAGTACTGAGCATTTAAGCAACTAAATTACAATATAGCTTCACTGCAGATGTACAGTAGTGTAGAAAAGAAGTGACCAGTATTACAGAGGGGGTAATAAATTTATGTCCAAGAACATTACCTTTATCTTCTGCTATGTTAGCTAATGTTAACATTAACACATAGTCAAGGCTTAGCAACTCCAGCTCTGCAGTTAACTTACCGCGATGTATGATTCCTCTGCAGGTGTCTGACGAAGTTTGACGTTGTCCCACAGGTTTCCGAAATTGTTGCTTTGCAGAATTTGCAGTCTGCCCTGTGTTGCTTTTTAAATGCAGCGCTGATAAATTCCTGGTGATTTCTATAAGCAAACTTGATAATGGCAGAATTGGCGGACATTTTCGTTTGTTAGAGTGTGTGTGAATCAATGGAAATTAACGTTAGCAGGGCACGCAGATGCAGAGCGTGCCGCGCAAATATAATCTAGTGTGTGATTGGTTATTACTTTTTTTGTTTTGTTTTTTTGTTTTTGTGATTGGTTATTGGTAGTGATGGGTCGTTCG